GGAGGGACTATATAGTGTGGCTTGTATCTCACTTGTAATCCAGTCTGAGCTACTGTGAAGGCTTTTGGTGATTAGGAAGAATACTTGGGGGAGGGCTGCAATATGTCCCAAAGCCAGCAGGCACCCACCTTTCTTCTTGCTTGATGGGCTGTCTCAGCCACTTGCTCTTTTAAAGGTGGAAGAAACAACTCAGGTAGCCTTATAACTCAGAGGTGGGTAGGGACCTGTTTTCTCCGGCAGAGGAGGGCAAGAAGCATTCCAATGGAGCAAAGCTCAGGGAACCAAGGTTCATTCTGGATCCCAGGAAGTATTTCCTGGCAGTTAGGACTCCGAGGGTATGGAATGGGCTTCCACAGGAGGTGGTGGAAGCCCCATTGGTGAGGGTGTTCAAGGATAGGCAGGACATGCACATGGTAGGCATGTCATGAGCAGAGCCAGCTGGAGCTGGGGGTCAGACTAGATGGCCCAGGAGGCCCCTTCTGACTTGCTCTGTTTCTATGTTTCTATAGTAGTATATGGATTTCACATGGGAAATAAAAACGGGGCCCTTTCCAGCCCTCAGATGGTTGGTGTGGACCAGCTAAGGAGAGAAAAGGGCCTGATTTTCAACCAGTTGCAGTCTGGTTGGAGCATTTTAAACCTCTCCCTCCAGTGCCCTATGAAGGGGACTAAAGGGCATGGCCTGGGAAAGTACTTTGCCCTGGCCCGTGGAGCCTCCCCAGCTGCCTTAAATGCATCGCCCAGAAAAGGGTGTCTGTGTTGGTGGCTTGGTTAGGAGAGGACACTTCCAGCTCAAGCCTCCCCTCAGCCAGGGATCTGCAGGACGTTGATGACACTCAGCTCTGCCTCCAACCTGAGTGAGGCGATGTCTGTGCTGAACCAGCTTCTGAGTTCGATGATGGACTGCATGAGGGCCAGTAAGTGGAAACTCAGTCCAGGCAAGATGGGTTAATGCTCTGTCTGATGGATTAGATGGCCATTGTGCTGTCTTGGATGGGGTGGCACGTACCCAGCTTGGGAGTGCTCCTGGACCCAGAACTCTCATTGGAGTCTCAGGTGGACTCAGTGGGCAGGAGGACCTTATTCCAGCTGTGGCAAATATGACAACTACAACCTTGTCTGGATATACAGAGCTGGACCACAGTTACCCATGGTAAAATCCAGACTGGATTATTGCAATGCACTCTGCGTAGAGCTGTCTTTAAGGATGGTCAAGAGACTTCAACTGATCCTAAATAGGGCTGCACATCTGGTGTCAGGTGTCAGTTTGTTTGCCCACATAACACCTATTCTGTACAAATTATCTTGGTTGCCAGCTGAAGCCCAGGCCTTATCCTGCTTTAATGTACAAAGCCTAAACAGCTTGGGACCTGGTTACTTGAAGGAACACCTTTTCCAATATGCTCCTATGAGGTACTTCTGAGAGAGCCAGCCCTAAAAGAGGTAAAAGGGATGGTATTTAGAAGAAGGGCCTTCTCAGTGACTGCCCCCAGCCTTTGGAATGGGCTTTCTAAAGGGGCCTGCCTGGCACCATTTCTACTTTCATTTCAGTGCTAGGCAAAACGATCCACATTCACAGATGAATTTAGAACCTGATTATAAGTGCTTCTCTTCTACAAAATTCCTCCCCTCTTCACCCTGTACTTGTACTGTTTGTTGTATATTGTTAGCCACTTAGGGAGTCCTTTCAGGCTATTAAGCAGCACATAAATTTGAACATAAATAAATGGATGGATGGATGGCCTTCTCTTGGCCTAACCTGGCTTCAAGTGCTGTTGTGGATATAAAATGGAGAGGACAATGGTATAGATACTTGGAGCATCCAAATGATATGTGTGAGTCCCTCCTGGAAGAAATAGAGCAAACCTTGACCCTTACACTGAGATATTCTAATTAACCCATTCTGTGCCATACTTGTGTATGGCTTGGCATGGCTCTTATGGCCAACTTAAGGCTCACACGGCAGACAAGACTGGAGGACTGAAACTCTGTGGTAGAGTGTCTGCTGCTATGCAGAAGGCCCCAGGTTTGGACCCCAGCATCTCCATGCTGGGCAAGGAAACTCCTGCCTGAAATCCTGGAGTTCCTCTGCCAGTCCATGTCAAAAGAACTGGCATAGATAAATCAAGAATCTGGCCGAATATATGGCAGCTTTCTGGGTTCCCACCCTAAGCAGTCTGATGTCTTTTCCTTCACTTCAAGCTACTGGAAGGGAAGCAGGCAGGTTGTCGCCATAGTGTGGACCTGGGTTGGGGCAGCCCCCTACACCTTTCTCATAACTTAAATCACCCCTGAAACTGCTAATTTCTGTTCTGCACCTCTCTTTCTTTTCTTGTGGCTAGTAGCAACGTCACTGGAGGTGTGACACCTATAAGGCAGTGACGGAGAACCAGTTGAATCCAATTCTCATTAGCCCCAGCTAGCATGGCCAATCTGGGGTGATGGATGTTATGAAAAAGCAGGTCAGGAGAGGCATGGCAGAGGTGCACAAAGTGATGCGTGGTGCGGAGAAAGCGAATAAGGGGACATTGTCCCCTCTTTCATAATACTGGAATCCAGGTTCATTCCATGAAACTGATTGGTGGAATATTCAAAAGAGTTCATCCAGAATGTTCAAAACATAAAGGGGATGACTTCTTCATGCAACACATTGTTCAGCTATGGAAGTCATTCATTGGTGGCCACTAATCTGGAGGGCTTTAAAAGGGGATGGGACAAATTCATAGGGCAGAAATCTGTCAATGGCTACTAGAACTGGTGCCTAATAAGCTGCCTCCAGAGCCACAGGCACTATGGGGGCACAGACCGGTTCCTGTGGAACATGGCAAGAGGATGCTGTTGCACTTATGCCCTGCTTGTGGGTTTCCCATGGGTACCTGGTTGGCCACTGTGTGACCAGAACACTGAACTGGATAGATCCCTGCTCTGATCCAGTATGGCTCTTCATATGTTGAGAACGCCTTTTTCCCTATTTGCCCTCCTGCCCCCTGAGATCGGCAGCAGAGGCCCTCCTCCGGGAACCCTCTGTGAAAGATGTTAGGAGACAGAGTACCCGGAGGAGGGCCTTCTCTGCGGTGGCGCCCCGACTGTGGGATGCACTTCCCAGAGAAGTCCACGTGGTGCCATCATTATATGTTTTTCGGCACCAGGTTAAGACCTTTTTATTTCATCAATATTTTAATCTGTTTTAATATTGAATTTTATTATTGTATTTGCAGCCAGAGTGGGTCGTCAATTTATTTATGCTGTTAGCCGTCCAGAGACGTTAGTAATTGGACGGCGTGCAAATTCCATAAATAAATAAATAATATGTTGCTCGTTCAACCATGTATGGAGGGCCACATGTTCCCTGATGCTGTTGCAAGGGAAATACGATGGAGGAAAGGGCTAGCCCTCCTTCTGCACTGCCATGGCCCCAATCCAGTCATCCCACATATAATTGTGGCCACTGTTAGTCAAAGCAAAATATATCAGGAGGTCTGCTCAGGTGTCTTCCACTTCACGCCTATTTTGGATCTCGTTCTGTCCACAAGAAAAGCATGAACCACAATGGCTCTGAACAAAGGTTTGCCCCTTGCAAGCCAGGCTTCTGACAGAGACATCGTGACATCTCTTGATGTGGCTGGAAAAGTTTGGCAGCTGCTGCTCCCACCTCTTCCCTCTCCAGTACTGCCATCTGCTTCCCTTCAACCCTCTAGGGCACACCTGGAATTCACTGGACCAGCAAAAAGGAGCGAGAGAGCAGAAGGCAAACCCAGAGCAGGGATCGGGCATGAGGAACCAGGGCTGTCACACCACTTGTTGCATCAGGAGCTTTAGAAGACTAAGCTTTTTGTACAGGTCAATCAGAAACAAAGCAGCACAGAGTCCGTCTACCTTGTTCACGTCATAGTAAGCACAGGGTGGAAGAAGAAAAGGGGGATCAAATAGGATGTGGCTTGACTCCCTAAGGGAGGCCACAGCCTTGAGTTTGCAGGAGCTGAGCAAGGCTGTCATGGATAGGACACTTTGGAGGGCTTCCATTCATAGGGTTGCCATAACTCAAAAATTACTGTGACAGCACATAACAGCAATGAAGCACAGGGCTCCTGCCATGGTGTGCATGTGTGTGTGTGTGTGGGGGGGGGGGGTGTTTACAGGGGCCCTTCATCCCTCCCTCCACTGTAAACCTGGCCCAGTTCAGGGGATCCAAGTCTGCAGAGGACCAAATAGCCATCTGTTAGCATTAAAGGATCGATATTTGACAATATATGCAGAATACACTGGGCAGAGAGGAGCCAAAGAAGGGGGAGGATGACCAAATGGTCACTACCCCCTCCAGGCTGGAGTTCCGATCCAAGCTGGGCCCCCAGATTGAAAGCAGAGTTTAAAAAATAAGCCTAGTATGAGTCCGGAGACAATTCATCTTTGAGGATTCAGCAAGCCAACTGGTGATATTCTTAAGTTCTCACAAAGAGTGCACGGGCTTCCCACTGTAGCAATGGCACATTCCATTGCTGACAGTGGGAAAGGCCTGGTCATGTGCCTGGGATTTTGACCCCAGAAGTTGAAACAGAGCCTTGTCTTCAAACAAGCTGTGCCTTCTGTGCCAGTGTAACAAAACAACTCTTGTCAGCAGCCCTGTTTTTCACATCCCATCAAACCATTATATACTTCTTCCACTGCACTCATTTTCTATTTTGACTTAAATCATAGCATTTTGCACGGCAGAGTCTGGTTAAACAAAGACAGCTTTATCCCCACCCATCCCTGAAAAAAAAAATAAAAATCAATCAATGGGATCTAAATATGTGTAGGATCTCAGCCACTATTTGCATCACAGCATCTCAGCATTCTCTGCAGTCACTCCTCTGTCTATTACTCTGACTTGCCTGACTTTTCTCCCATGTATTCTGACCTTATTTAAAATTGAAAAGAATTCAGTATGAGAAGCTGTAAATTGCTGATACCTATAGGAATGCTGAACAGATAAAAGAAGAAAAATCATTTGTTTCACTTACTTGCCCCTTGTAGTTTCAAAACCGGGTGTTTTGGAATCCGCATTTGGCTTGCTGCTGTAGCTGGATTGCTTGGAAGAATGGTTCACGGTTGCTCCTTTAGAAACATCTCTTTGAAGAAAGCCCTTTTTTGGATTAATTTGTGCTGGGATTCCTGCTCTGTTAGGTGTGAGTGTGGACCTGACATTTGTAGAGCCACCATCAATGTGGCTGTCTCTACTAGGACTTGTGACAATTACGGGTTTGCTCTGCTGTGCCGCTGCTGCAGTTGGCAGTCCTTGAATCTCTAGGGGAGAGCTGTGTTTTATGTCTTCTTCCCGGGTTGTATTCAGTGCAGTTGTCACCTCTGAGGCAGGTGGGAGAGCTGTTCCCAGCTCACTTCCGAGACCCTCCGTTTTGGTCAAAGTCAAGCCGGGCGGACTTGTTTCCACTTCACCATCCACTGGCGGGACCAAAATCAAGTTACATCCCAAGGATAACAAAATCAAAGTTGGGAATATCTCTCTCATTTTCTTGGCATGTAAGAACTTCAGTGAGCCCCTCATATCGTTGTCACCAGAGGCTTGTTGTTCTCTTTAAAGCTCCCACTTTCGCAATGAACCTGTCAAGAACGCTGGGCTGGGGATTCTGATTTGCGGTAGGGAAAGGAAACAGGTTTTTAGTGTTTGAAAGTGGATGGTTTCCTGTTTCTATGGGCTCGTCAGGAACCCGTGACCTCTTGGAACTGTGGAGCGAGAGACCCTTGGGGAAAAGTTTGGGGGGACTGTCTGTGCAGAAGCCACAGGATGAGGGATAACGTGAGCATGGAAACATGCTGTCAGTGAAATATGCTCGAGAGGGAATGGGTGGGGAGCAAGAACTGCTGAGTTAACTTCCTTTGACGTTGAGCAGCAACAGAGAACAAGGGAGACCTGTGAAATGGGCCATTTGCATCATGTTACAAAGGTTACACCACTCTGTGGAACACCCCAAAGCAGTACATGTGACTTTTCTGTTTTCTTTGTGTTGTTATCTGTCTCTAACTCAACCACGCGGTGGCCTGGTGAGTGAGAATTCTGCGCTGCAGGCAGAGGGTCTGTCTTTGAATTCCTGAGCATTCAGTCATCCTGGTGATGCTGAATTGGGGTTGTCATCTCTCTTTTTCAGAAAAGCTCCTCACTTTTTCTGTCAGCCAGGTATAGCATCCAGGGGACAGTGCATCAGATTGAATTTGCTCTGTGCAAATAGATGAGCATGTTGATGGGTTCACTGCTGGTAATTCACTGTTATCTTCAGTCATGGGACAGAAAGAATTTGTGATTTTAAAAAATCCAAATGGGGGAGGAAGTGAAGCTGACAGAAGCATCCATCTCCAGTTGTAGCTTCATATTACTTGGCACTCTCCTGCCAACAGGAAGCCCTGCCTCTGTTTCTGTCTACTCTGATTGCTCCTACCTGCTCTGGCAGGAAGCTCTTTCCACATTGCTTGTTACAGCTGCATTGCACCATTGTATGAGCAGGGCTTTGACCAGGGATGCAGATCAGAGATGGGCAACCTTTTCTTGCTGAAATCCATCTCTCCTCATGGGTAATCTGTTGGGGGAAACACTGGTGGCCAAAGAGGATCAGGCACTTCCAGCCTGGGTTCACACAGGTTGTCCACTCCTGCATCAGGATTGAGATGCTTAGGGGTGAGGACTATTCTTTGGCTACCCTGCAAAGAACTAAATCCTTTACACAAACCCCAAGGAAGGAAGTGTAGAAAAAACTCATGTTTAGTATCACATCTTGCCAGAACTTTTCCATGCACTACCTGCCAGTCTCTTGCTTTAAAACTGTTAGGGAGTCATCCAGGGCTGTCTGTGTCAGATGCATGTAAGACTCCACATCCAGAGACTTACATGCAGCCAGTGCATGGATCACTGCAGCGCCCTGCATTTTGGCTAGACAGCCAATTCCAGCCACCTAGCTATACATAGAAACAGGGAAACAGAGCAAGTCAGAAGGGGTCTCCCGGGCCATCTAGTCTGACCCACCCCGCGACTCCAGCCAGCTCCACTCACGACATGCCTACCAGGTGCATGTCCAGCCTATCCTTGAACACCCTCATTGATGGGGCCTCAACCACCTCCCATGGAAGCCCATTCCATACCCTTGGGGTCCTAACTGGCATCCAAGTTGAACCTTGGTTCTCTGAGCTTGGTTCTGTTGATGCATGTCCTGCCTTCCTCTGCAGGGAAGAGCAGGCTGCTACCCACCTCCATGTGACACCCCCTTCCATACCTGCATGTCGCCAACAGATCCCCTCAGAGTCTCCTCTTCTCCAGGCTGAAGAGACCCACCTGCCTCAGTCTCACCTCCTACAGCTTTCCCTGCAATCCGGCCACCATCCTTGTGGCCCAATGCTGCCCTGACTCCAACCTTCCAGGAGATTGGCCCCGGCCTTCTCCCCTCCCCACACCCGCCGTGCCCCTTTTCCACCTCTCCGAGGCCCCGCTGCATCTTGCAGAGGCCTCTGGCATGGTTCTTTCTGCACTGCCCGTCTGAGTCCCAGAGCACCAAATAGCATGATGCCTCCCCTAAACAACACTGGGAAGCCAGAAGAATGAGTCCTCACTGTATCTTAAATCTTTGTACTGCTGCTAGGTTTTATTTGGTTATTATTTTTATTTTATTTCCTCTTTTATACTGTATTTTATCATGTTGTATTTTATGGTTTTAATTATGCGAACTGCCCAGAGAGTTTAAGCTTTTGGGTAGTCCAGAAATACGATCAATTGATGTCTAGTGCATGATCCAAGCGCAAAACACTTGCAGGCGCTTGCAGTGCTCTCTGCTGCCTTCGCCACCATAGGCTGCCTGCCAAGGTTCCCAAATGTGCATCAGTCAAGAGAAGGAGAAAGCAACAGTGGCACATGAAACAGCAGGTGCTGTCAGCTTCTTGGCAGAGGCATGGGGACTCCATGTCCCAGCATGTGTGCAGATCTGGACAGACTATGGAAGGGGGAAGGGGGCAACAGGATGGCATTCAATGCAGATAAGTGCAAGGTCTTGCACTGGGGACATACGAATGGGTATCATAAGTACAGGTTAGAGGACAAGTGGCTTGAGAGCAGCACTTGTGAAGAGGATCTCAGGGTGCTGGTCGACTACAGGCTAAACGTGAGCCATCATTGCAACATGGCGGCCAAGAGGGCCAATGCAACCCTTGGATTAATAGCCAGAAGCGTGGCTTCTAGATTGAAAGAGGTATTACTACCACTTTATATGACTCTGGTGCGCCTGCAGCTGGAGGATTGTGTTAAGTTCTGGACCCCTCATTACAAGGAGGATATAACAAGGCTGGAATCAGTGCAGCGAAGGACCACTAGGATGGTGGCTGCTTTGCAGGGTAAGCCATATGAGGAGAGACTGAGGGAGCTGGGTCTTTTCAGCCTTGGAAGGATGAAACTCAGAGGGGACCTGTTAGCGACATACAGGTACGTGAGAGGGTGCCACACAGAGGTGGGTCATGCCCGCCCCCCCCCCCCCCCAGTGGAGGACAGGACGCATTCCAATGGAGCAAAGGTCAGGGGACCAAGATTTAGGGTGAATGCTAGGAAGTACTTCCTGGCGGTTAAGACCCCTAGGACATGGAATGAGCTTCCACAGGAGGTGGTTGAAGCCCCAGTGGTGAGGGTGTTCAAGGATAGGCTGGACATGCACATGCTGGGCATGTGACTTGCTCTGTTTCTATGTTCCTATGTCTGAACAGAACAGAACCCCAACTGCATTCATTTCAGCCAGGAAAGGCTTCCTCTTGGGTGGAACTGTTATATGCTGACAAGTTGTCTTGAACTGATGACAGTGGTATGAATGGAAGTCCCCCAGAATGCCCTATCCATGAGAACCCTGCTCAGCTTCTGCAAAATCAAGGTTGTGGCTTCCTTTCGGCATGCAATCCATCTCATATTTGCTCTTCCTTTTCTTCTTCTGCCTTCAACTTTCCTTGATTGTTTTTTGCAGGGAGTTTTGGCTTACTATGATGTTCACAAAGTACAACAGCCTTTTTTTTCATTTTTTCCTTTAAGGGAAACTCTGACTTGATTTGATTAATCAAGTCAAACCACTTGTTTGTCTGTCTGTTGGTCCAGGGTATTCACAAAGTTCTTCTCCAGCACCATGTTCTTCATCCATTTTTTCCCCTGACAGCATTCTTTACTATCTAGCTTTCACATCCATACAGTAAACAGAAATACAAGTATGCAGATGATCTTGGCCTTGGTCTTTCCTGAAATGTCCCTACACTTGATGATCTTGTCTAGTTTCTTTGTTACTTCCCTTTCCAGTCTCAGTCATCTTAGAATTTCTTCACTGCAATCTCCAAAATCCACCTAAAAGAATTTTGCTCATTGCTCCAAAATGACTTAAATTTTTCACTTTTCCATAAGAAGACCAAAACAAATCCACAAACAGCACCACGCTTTGGGCAACCAGGTAACTACACCACAGGCGTGGGCACCAGTTAGATTTTCTACCTGAGAAACCCCATTGTCTTCAGCAGGCTGTGACTCCAGGGTATGGTGGAACAACCTAGAATTGGCACTGATGTTCATCCCAACAGCAAAGTGAAGGGGGCATACAGTGCGCAGCCTGCCAGCGCTTGCAGCATGTGGACTAATTGTAACTGAAAGGCAGGCCTCTCCTCTGAGCAACTCCACACAGCTGCTAAAGCACCCAGCTGATTCATCTGCTGTTAGTGTACAGGTTCACCACATTATGGCAATGGACAGCATCTCATTAACAGCCCTCCTTGGGAACAAGCAAGCGCCACCGAAGACATAAACAACACGGATTAGCTGGACAGAGAGCTGCTATGCCAAGTTACAGCTGCAGCAGGGCAGAACTGGATGCGAGCCGAGATTGTGACAACTGAGCTAGACAAACCCAGATCCCTCGTGTTTACATTGTGTGCTTTTGAAAGCCAAGTGCACTGTTTTTCAAGGCTGGAAGAGAAAGCTGCACAAAAGGGTAATATTTGCTCTGTACGTACTCAAAGCAGGGTGCCCCCTGGCAGTCCAGAAAGGTGAAAGCAGAATTTAATGGAACAGTGCAGTCCAAGCACAAACACGGGATTTTCATGGTGCCAGATCAACCAGTCTGGGGCAGAATCAATTACCCTTCCTTTCAAGCACATTCCAGCTACATATAAAAGCAACGTGAATTTAATTATAGGGGACAGTAGGGATGGGTAAGTATTTCATCTCAGTTCAGCTTGGATAAGAAGTTACTTTGATTTATGAAGTCCACCATACTGAGGAGAAAAGGAGCTTTATATCTAAAGTGGAACACGGAAGAAACCGGAACTGACAGATCTGTCTGTTCAGGCCCAGGGCTTTTAGGACTTAGCTCCAAAAAGTCAGGCTGGAGTCCTTGTGTATTCAAGGATGTTTGGGGCTCTCATATATTTCTTTTCCTCACAGGTTTCTCATCTTTAATAGCTCTATAACAGGTAAGTCCATCCTGATCTTTACGATGTTAGGAATTCTTGTACCCATTGAATGCATCTACTGCAGATGGGCCAGAATTTTATTTGGAATTCTCATTTTGGATGAGAAATTTCTCACTTTGGATGAGACTGTCCTGAAATTCACAAGGTCTTCATATTTGTGTGAGGAAGAACTTGGGTTTTTAAAATATGAATGTGGGAGAGAGTGAAACAAACACTCGCACCCCTTCCTGTGAGACAGAGCCACTGGGAAAGCACCCATCCATGTTAGAAAGGAGGAAGGCACCCTCAGCTGAATCTTCCTCTCTCTTTGGGGAAACCAGC